CCCCCGGAGGGTCCCGTGGGTGCGGGATCCGGGGTGAGGTTGGGGGCGTGGGGCAGGCGAGGGGGCTGCCAAAGCCTTGGGTGCAGGGCTGGGGTGGGGGGATCTGAGGTTCAGCACTCCGAGACCCTCGAGGGTGACTGGGGTGGTCCCTCTGGGGTACCCAGGAGTTCTGGGGTGCCCCGGGATGAGGGGTGGAGGGTGGGAGCGAGCCCCCACTCCCCGCTGGGAAGGCAGGGCTGTGTCCTCCCCTCCCGCCCTGCCCACTCACAGCAGAGCCGAGAACTTTGAAAAATAAGGGCTGGCACAGAGGAGGGCAAGGAAAAACGAAGCAGAGGAGCCCTTTCCCCACCTTTCCAGGCGCTGCCCCCTCTCCAGCCGCCGGCCTTTGAGTCCGAGGCTGCGATGTGTCATCGGTGCTGAAAACTGCCTTATTAGGAGAGAAAGTATCGGTGAAAATCAGTTCTTTCCTTAAAGCCGTTGCTCCGAGCCGAGGGCTGCCCGCGAGTGCCAGCCTGTGCTCATTCCTTAGGGAATGACTAGACATGAGCTCAGCGGCGTGGCCGAGAGGTGAGAGCATCCTCCCGCCGAACCCACCGGCCCCGGCTCCCGGGAAGCAGCAGGAAAAGCCCCGGCTCGTACCCGGGGGTTGTTTTCTCCATCCTACCCCGAATAACGCCCGGGCGAACGTGAGACCGAGGATTTGGCGGTGGCAGCTGCGGGTACCGTGTCCGGGGACAATGCCGGGATCGGATGACTCTGCAAAGCGGCTCCTGCTGCAGGCGCTGCCGCTCGCCCGGAGCTGTGCGTGCAGGGTTTGCTCCACCTCAGCCACCCGGGAGCCTGCCTGGGCTCCAGCAGCACATTCCCGTGCCGTGAGGTTATGCCACATCGTTAAAATCCCGGGAAGTTTTAAAGGGAGTGCTCACACCGGTCACGCCGGTGCCGCCGGGGAGGTTGGCCGGGACACGGTGGCTGTTCCCATTGGCACCGGAGCAGCTCTTGGGTTTGGGGGCTGGGTTTGGATCCCCCCGTGGCAGTCAGTCCCTTTAAGAGGGATTTCTTCCCTTGTTCTGGACGGTTTGGGTCCAAGTTGTCACCGGAGCGTTGAGCACAGCCCTGCCCAGCCCGTCCAGCCTGTGGGTGACATGGGATGGTCATGGCTGCAGCACCCCCAGCTCGGCCTGCTCCGGGGGTCTCACAGGGTGGGAGGAAGGGCTGAGACCTGTTACACTCATTGCTCTGGTTCATGTCTCCTCTCTCTTCCAGGGACATGATGGCACAGGCTGAGCCCCCTCCAGAGCTGCAGCTGGATGAAGCTGGAGCATCCTCAGCCCCTCAGGGAGCAGCTGCAGGTGCTGCTCCACACGTGGATCATCCACACACCCCGTTAGACCCATCAGGGAGTGTGGGGGTGACATCCCCGCTCAGGGGCAGCCCAGACTCCAGCCAGGAGCTGCAGGCTACCAGCAGGGACACTTCCTTGGAGCTAAACATGCCAGGGACCCAGCTGGACGAGGATGCAGCCGGGGCTGGGATCCCGCTGGATGTGGACGTGGCAGGAGTCCCGCTGGACGTGGATGTGGAAGGAGTGGGGATTCCACTGGATGTGGGTGGGGCAGCGATCCCGCTGGACGCGGATGCAGGTGGGACAGGAATCCCACTGGACATGGATGCAGATGGAGCAGAGATTCCACTGGATGTGGATGCAGGTGGGACAGGGATCCCAGTGGATGTGGATGCAACAGGGATCCCACAGGACTTGAATGTGGGTGGGGCAGGGATCCCACTGGATGAGGATGCAGATGGAGCAGCAATCCCACTGGACATGGACACAGACAGGGCAGGGATCCCAGACGATGCAGACACAGACAGGGCAGAGGTTCCACTGGACATGGATGCAGAGGGAGCAGGAAGCCCTCTGGATGCAGACGCCACAGAACATCAGTGCCTGACCCTGGAAGAGCTGGGGAACTACTTCCAAGAGTGCATTGAAATCGTGGAGCAGCTGGAGAAGGAGAGAGACAGCCTGATCTCAGAGCTGGCCCAGCTCCGGGAGCCGGCGCTGCAGGAGATCCGCCATGCCCACGAGGAGATCCAGGCAGCCTGCAGGCTGCTGGCCAAGGTGGAGCTGGAGAGGGACAACCTGAGGGACGAGATCCGGCAGATCAAGCAGAA